CGCTTACTCAATTGCGTTATCTGGCGGGTTTGTTATATGTTTTTATGTACTTTGTCCACGGCCTGTCTAGTTGCATATTATTCCTGTTGTTCGTGCCTTCGGTTTGCTTATTTGCTTCCTGCTGACACACGTGCAACAGTACGGTGTGCCCTCTTATGAATATTCTGTGTGCTTCGCTTACATAACTGCTGACGTTTCTATTACCATGCGAATGCATAAAGGGGATATGCTGCGTTCATTGTGCTGTGCTGTCATACGCGTTCCACCTCAGATGCTGTGGCGGTGGTTGCGGCTTTCCTGTATTCTATTTTGTTGCTTGCACTTTCATATTATTTGGCAACTCCGCCGAGTCCAGCAGCCGTGCGACGGTCTGTTGAACTGCACTCGGCTTTTCAATATCTGTGGAGCCTTAAGTTCGCGGACTTCCTCCTCGAGAGAAGAGTCGTCACTTCACGGGTAAGTGTACAGCAACTGTTTGCTGTAGTATCATGTGTTTCATGGACTCTTTCCCTTGCAGCAGTTCGTTGTTAGGGCTAGGGTTTAGGGTTTAGGGTTTTAGGGTTTAGGGTTTAGGGTAGAGATGCAGGAAGAAGGCTGCAAAAATTCTGTTCTATTGTTAGTCTTGCTTAGTAGGTAGTCGTGCGTGCATGCGCGCACTTCCCATGCTTTCGGTTGTTTTGTTTCTTTTCAGTCCGTTAATGACCTTCGTTTACCTTCGGTGGATGCGCGTCATTCTTTCCCTTTTATTTCTTCCTTAAATCCTCGGTCATTCAAACCAGAAAGAGGAGCACCTGCAGTTTGTTTTCGTGGAGCTCCAAATCCAGTCAGAAGCAAGTACATAACTGCAAAGGTTGTGTTGCGGCATCCCGCCGGCGTCCAGTTTGACTGCTTTAAAAACTTGCGAAAAGGCCAGCGCGTTCTGCTCACGTTGACAAGTGCACCCCGACAACTGAACACCATTGGATCTCCAGATGCGCCTGCTGTTGTTTACCTCAATTTAATTTGGTGCGGCCGTCGCGCTGCTCCAGAAGAACTGCGTATTCGCCTGCCCTCTTACGCTCTGTCGGCCTGTGCCGAGGTTGCTGCAGCGGGAAGAAAACCGGGTGGTACCTCAACGTCTACTTCAGTACAGCGCCATATGCCGCAATTTGTCATCTGCTCTCTTCTAGACATGCTACATGAAGACTCTACGGATGCATTTGTGAACAGCCAAATATGCCGCTACCTCAGCGAGGCAGAAACACAGCTTGGGTCAGCTTCCTGCGAGTATGCGCTTGTGCTGCCCCTCCCTTTAAGTGCCTTTAACTGTGGAAGGCGCTGGCATTGCGGTGTTCGTGCATTGAAGAGCAGCACCGAATCCGCCTCTTCCTGCTGTATGTTGAGGTACTTCGGCAGGCTAGGGTGGAGTGGGGGAAGCAGAAGCACAGCTGATCACAAGGTCAATGCTGTTGAACCTGACGAGGAGCACGTAGAAAGAACTGTACGTTCAAAAGACCAACTAAACGGAGGAGGCAAAACAACAGAGAGGGTTGGGCACTGGAAGGTGCAGAGTC